GGGGCACATTTCTGCAAAAAAAGGGAAAGTTGGCTAGTGCCTTCTTGGTGTGCTCTAGGCGATGTTATTTTCCCCTTCCTTTGAAATAAGTTATTCCCTTGGTCTGTGATGATTCTTTGTGGGTTTTTTTCTTTGAGGGGCAGATTACCAGAAATCCCCATCTCTAGAGTATCCTTGTTTGAATTGTGGCCCTGCGTTTTGTGATTGTAGCGCACCTGTCAATTCTAACACACAAACTTGACTGGTGCAGTACAGGATTACATTTGAGTGACTTGTTTATTTTGAATTAAAGGTGGTTATTCTGGCTCAGTGGAGCTGTATGAAAAGACACGTGGAATTACGGATATTTGAGAAATGGAAGGGGAGGAGGTTTGACTTTTGTGTTTACATCTTAAGGTAAAAAGTGGACCATCTGGAGATGGATGCTCTGAGGAAAATGGAGCAGACTGGCCTCTTTGAGAAATCAATCTTGTTCTTAAGTTACGAGAACACAAATGAACTTATTTAAATTTTACCCAGAATGGGATGAACTTCCTATGGTGCTTGAGTAAAACCTTTGAAGACAGTGGTAGTCCTTGGGCAGGTATGAATCAAGTCATGTCGATGTTAACCTTTGGCTCAGAAAAACAGAATCTAGACGTTGAACTACAGTGTATTCTTCCAAAACTAACCCCTAAGTGGTGGTGTATGACTTCAGAAACAAAGTGGTGAGGTATTTGTGGTGATTAAAATGTCATGGGACCATACTTAAAAGAGTTCCTACTTTGAAACAAAATTCTGCCGCTTTAATACTCATTCTGAGGCAAAGGCTTGCTTCTAGTTTGGGACCCTTCTAGCACAGGTCACCTCCCTCCAGAATCAAGCACCTCACGTGCTTCTTTCTCTGCTTTGAGTTACCATATCCCACGGGATGGCGTTTTTGATCTCAATCCTCCCAACACCTTTTCTTCCAGAAGAGCTTAAAGCAGCGCCTGGGTAAGAGTAACATCCAGGCCCGGTTAGGCCGGCCCATAGGGGCCCTGGCCAGGGGAGCAGTCGGAGGACGAGGCCTGCCCATAATCCAGAGAGGCCTGCCCAGAGGAGCACTGCGAGGGGGACGTGCCACGAGAACCCTGCTGAGGGGCGGGATGTCGCTCCGAGGTCAGTGCTGTGTCCCTGATCGCTGGGAAGCCCTGTCCCTTTCCTTTTTCACTTGGGTGGCAGGTGGGCACATTTGTTTAATATATTTAAGCCTGAAATTGTATTCGTGTACTTAATAACTTTTGAAATGGCATATTTTCTAATAGTGCTGCATGTCTTTTATCCATACCATTCCTTTTCTGATAATGTGCAATGGTGAGCAGCTATGACCTGCTTTAAAACAGGTAATTCGTGTCATCTCCATTCCACTTTAAAACATCCAGCTGCTTCTTGAATCAAAACATGTTCAAGTTCTAGAAATAAGTCGGGTCTTAAGAAAATGTATGGTGTGTCAGCATATAGCATAAGTGTTTCTGGTGCCAGTGAAGTGTTCTGTTTAATCTGGGGGAAGAACAGGACAAATTGACCCAAAACACTTAGTTACGCTATATTTTAGACACTGTTAATACTCTTTTCTCTATGGTTTTTCTTCCCTACAAGAATATATTGAAAACTGGGACCATGAATATACTGAAAACGAACCATATCATTGAATCTACCATAATGCTTGGCATCTACATGTCTGATTACATAATAGCTGTTATTAAATGTGTGTGCTTACTCATTAATTTATTCCCATTTCTTTTAAAAATGGGTTTTGATCAAACTTGTTGAATTGATTAAACAAAGAGCAGCATAAATCTATTCACATTGACCCGCTCAACCTAAAAATTAAACAGATGACTTCTCATTTAACCTTTGGTTAAAATCTACTTTGTCTTTCTTGGATTTACCTGCCTGTACATTGTATGCCTCCTCTCCAAGGTCAAAACCTGCTGCGCGGTGGACGAGCCGCAGCTCCCCGAATGGGCTTAAGAAGAGGTGGTGTTCGAGGTCGTGGAGGTCCTGGGAGAGGGGGCCTAGGGCGTGGAGCTATGGGTCGTGGCGGAATCAGTGGTAGAGGTTAGTCAGTTACCAACTTCAGAGAGTAGCTCTGCCCTGTTTTCTCTGCCTCAAAAACTCAGCCACCTTTCTGCTTAGCCTCGAGTCCTAAGCAGGCAGGCTTGTTTGTCTTGTTTTGATTCGAAGCAGGCTTGTTTTGTAAATCCTCATGCTGGTAGTACAGAAGTTTCATCTTCTCCCAAGGACTAGTTGGGTGCTTACTGTAGAGCCAAGATTACTTGTACTCCCAGGCTCTTGTGGATTTAGCCTGCGCTCCGAAAATGACTAATAGTCCGTTTGGGTCCTGCCCCACCACCACCACACACCTACCCTCTAGCTCAAAACCCCAGTTTGAGTCAGGTAAGAGTAGAGCAGAGGGAGAGAAACCGAAGTGAGGCGCAGGAAAGAGGATGGGGATCTTGAAACTGCGCATGGGGTCTGAAACCAGGTAAATTCAAGGTAGTTTGTCCCTGCAGGAGACCAGACAGCGACTTCATCGAAAAAGTTAGGGGTAGAAAACAAGGTGGTGCTGTCAGTTAACTACCTGGCTGTTTTTACCATCTTACCTTTGAGACTTACTGATCGTGCTTTGTGGCATTATTACACAGAGCGGGGAAGAATTCAGGAGTGTTGGCTATTACTGGTGCCAAATTTCGAGGGAGCTTTCTAGCTTAAAGCTTAGTGGAAAGGTCCCAACACTGCCACTGGGGCAGGGAGATCTATTCTTTCAGCTTCTGTGTGTATTTGCTTTGGGTCCACTTCAGGTGTGTGGTGGGGTCTTCCATAATTTATGGCCTTGAAGTTGCCAACGGGTAATAACTGTTAGGAAAGGTAATTTGATAACAGGGCTTATTTTCTTCTCCCATTATTGTATGCCTCTTAGTTTATTGAGTAAAGTGCAAGTTAAGTTTGGGTTTCAGGATAAAATAACATGCTTCCAAATTACCTTTGTCTTGGTGTTTGAGACTCATGGGTGTGAAGGATAAAGTGACTTTTCAGAAAACTGGGTATGTTTTGTTAAAGGTGAATTGAAACCGTCTCTCTGATAATCATATCACTGTCCTAAGGTGACTAAAATCAGAGGGGTGAGTGACTGGAACTACTCAGAATGGTTTTTCCATCTCCCCACATTGTTCCTATGTCAAAATAACTCCTTGGTCCTCTGACCCAGGGTCACTTCTCTGTGCTTGATGAGTTTAAAAAGAGAGGGAATAATTTTCCAAAAAGGCCTTCACTAAATCCTACTTTGAAAACTAGCTTCACACCCTTGATTCTTTGTGCCTATCTTGGCTGCTCCCTATCGGTTATAATGTATTTTAATTATGAATTTATAATGTGTCTAAACTGAATAATTTGTCAAAGGAGAGATTAAGATTTTTTTCACAGTAATTTTTATTTTCCCTTCATTGATAGAATAATTTTTTAAGGTAGAATTTAGAGATAAGCATGTTTATTAATAGATTCATTAGGTGCTTTCCATGTGTTGCTTTCTACCCTATGTGTTTTTCTGGTTTTCTCTCTGCCCCGCCCTCAGCCTTTCTTAGCTAGGCCCCACTGTTCTAAGGGGCATGACGGCGCACCTGTTAAAGCTTACATGTGACGGTTATCTTTTTCTTTTTCCTCCGCCTTGGGCCAGGTCGGGGTATAATAGGTCGGGGAAGAGGGGGCTTTGGAGGCCGAGGCCGTGGACGAGGACGAGGACGAGGTGCCCTTTCTCGACCTGTGCTGACCAAGGAGCAGCTGGACAACCAGTTAGATGCCTACATGTCAAAAACAAAAGGACACCTGGATGCTGAGTTGGATGCCTACATGGCGCAGACAGATCCAGAAGCCAATGATTGAAGTCCGCCCACCCGCCCATGAGAGACTCTTGTTGAAGGCACCACGTGTGTAAATACTGTTGAGAAAACCGATGAGAAGAATCCTGATTGGAGCTGGAAGGACTTGTCACAATAGGTTGTGGACTTATTTGCCACCTGTTTGCATTTAGTGTGTTCCTTTTACTTTTTGATACTGTTGTATGAAACCCTTTTTCCTCTGACTTGATTTTACATATTATATATATTTTATTCTCTCATGCCCCCACCCACGTAGACTGATGTTTGTTTTGGGGCCTTGTGGCTAGAGCTCCTTTTGTCCTCCGCTTTCCCTCCCCTGTCCTGTGTTGTGTGACATACTAGCGTTTCCTTTTTTATCTCTGCACCACTAAACGGAGGTCCCAAGAAAAGCCATTGGGGAGCTACTTTCCAATCAGTGGTTCTCTTTCATGAACTCTGAAATTTGTTCAGCAACTCTAGCGCTCTAAAAGCCATCCTGCTGCTTTGACAGCCGAGCAGATGGATAACATTGCCTTAGCTACAGGACCACCTATCCTGCGGCAAGAGTGGCTCTGAGCTGGTTAGATTCACTACCGAGTGTGTGGTTGACAGACACTACATAGGTGACAGCAGTGTGCACTTTCTACCCTCAGATGAGATCCGCTTTTTGCTTTGTGTCATGTCCGGGGGATACTACTAGTTTGG